TTTTATTTAGATAAATTAATTCAAATTTTTAAAATTTTAAATTATTAGTTTAGATATATGATAAAAATTGATTATATATATATATATATATATTAAGATTTGATGATTTTTAATTATTATAATGTTTTATATTTGATCAATTTGTTTCTCTTCCTTTGATTGTGAGTTTATTATTTTGAATTTTGTTTGATTATATATTGTTGTATTTGTGGAATTGAAAATTATTTTAAAGTTGAAAATAAAAAGTATAGATTATAATATGTAAAAAAAACTTAGCAACAATCTTTAGCAATTAATTAAAAAATATATTTAATTATTGAAAATAAAAATTACAAGTCAATAAATATTTTATAAAAATCATTATTTATGAAATATTTATTTATTATAGTTGATAGACAAGTATCTACCGTAAGAGAGAATCTTTTCAAATTGAGTAATAGTAAACTAGTTCGCTTTTAATTTATGAAATTTAATTTATTTAAATTAAAATTTTAAGTATATCTATTTCATTCCATTTTATTTGACATTTTGAGGTAGCTCTTAAAAAATATAATTAATATGTTTGATTTTATAAAATAAAAAATTGTATGACTTTTTAATATACGTTTAAATGTTTTGAACTTTTATCAATAATTAAAAAATATTAATAATAATTAAAAATATAATAAATAAATATTGAATACTACATTAAATTAAAAAAATTATCAAAAAGTCAAACAAAATACAACAGAAGAATAAACACTAACCATTATCCTTAAAACACTTAATAATTGATGAATCAAAATGTTATTTATTTATTTATGTTATGAACCAGCATATCCTTCTCAAAGTTAAAGATAAATCCTAATGTACACTCCATCATTTCTAATACAATCCTTACTATAATTTGTAATACAAACATTGTTTTGTTTATTTTTTAACTAGTGTCATAGAAACATTGGTTAACATGCATGAGTCTTAATTTAAATATAAATATGTCGTAAACCTAATTTAAATATTTGAGTTATATTATTTATACAACAATTTTATAACATTATTTCTTTTATTTTTTATTATCACATTAACTCTTTTAACTTCATCTCTTCTTTTATAAGAAAACTAAATGTCCACTTTATTTTAGGGAGGGTTGGGCGCCGAAAGAAAGAGAATAGGAAGAAAAAAAAAAGGTAAATAAAAATTAATAGATACAATATAAGTGAAGTAATAAAAAAA